CACTTTCTTTTCTTCCCGCACATAGAATCACACCAATCAAACAGGTCCCAGCCAGATGACACAGCTGGGCACTCTCCAATCTCCATGCAGCATGTTTTTGTCTTTTATTGGTAGAATACTTTCATTTATCCAATACCATGACTGGTTGCATCAGCCCAGCTCGAGTCTGTGCCTGCGCTGTTCAGTCCATCCGAGCTCAGGCTGTGTCCGAGCCCAGCCCCCACACACAGCTGTAAGATAGCGAGGGCCACAGCAGGTACCTTCTCTGGTGTCTCTTGGGCCATCTTAGATGCCAGCTGTGGCAGGATAATGGAGAAATTTTCTGTGATCTGTGGAGGAAAATAAGAACAGGGCTGCATTTTCCATATGCAGGAAAATGTGCTTTGGGTGCTGTGGGAGCGTCCCTGGATCCAGCCACAGCAGTGGGCTCCAGATGCTGCCTACCCAGCCCCTCACACCTCAGCAGGGCGTTTGGGGTGCAGTGTGGCTGCATCCTGACAGCAAAGCTGCTCTTTGCACATGGCTCTTCAAATAGGCTTTGGCATCATGGAAGTTTTTTATACTCAAAAATAGGCATCTGTTTATAGGAAATGCAGAAGTTAGACAGCTGTCCTCAAGGATATGCCTTGAAGGGCACAAGAACAGTTTAAATGCAAAATCTGTACATAGCTGTACACAGGGAAAGTTTATTTTCAACACTCTTCATAGGTGTTTGATTAATGAGATAAATGGTTTTACAGGAGGTCTCTACAGGCTAAAATAATGAAGTGTCCCATCCCCCAAAATGGCATACAGACAGCCACTTTACCCAGAAGGATTTGCCCGATACATCATTCCTTGACATCAGTGAGCTCTATGAGACCCTCAGACCCCCTGACAAAAGGGTGTCTTCTCCTTGAAACTTTTGGAGTGGGGATGGAGCTTTTGCTTCTGCTTCCCAAGACTTAAACCCATGACAATTGTGGCTGTTTATGCCTTATCCTCTTTCATCACCCTGGAAGAAGGGAGCAGCACTATCTGCTCCCTAGAGGGCTAGGCAAGCTGTATTGCCATCCAGTTGAAGCCAGACTTGCCATGAAATGTTTGCAGACTGCAGCGCGAGCTGCTGAGGGAGCCATCGCTCTCCAGCCCCTAGTGGATTCACCACCCCACACTCAGCCCAGAGCTCATTTTCTTTTCCTCACACTAAGTTATGTGGCTTTTCCCCAGGGGTTATGCAAACTGCACAGTGACTCTTTTTCAGCCTCCCAGCCAGCCATGCATCTGTTTTTGATCAAAATTTTTCTATTGTAAGCTCTTGTTGGCTCAGAAAAGTGCTTTGACAAGCTTGAAAGTTCCTACCTTGGGAAGGACTAACATCTCTCTAAAAGAGTGCTGTTTAGTTGGAGAGGTATTACCCAAGAGCTGCAGAAAAAAATGGGACTTTTTACAAGGATCAGAAACTGAAACAGACATTGTCATGGCAGGATCAAAGATGCCCCAGAGCTCTCAGCTCCAGCAGTGTCAGACACAACTTGGCCTGCTGCCATTGTGGCAGGTTCATTAAGACACTTCTCAATCTCTGTTTCTTGTGCTCAAAAATTTGCCTACCCCAGTTCAAGAAAATACAGCATATATGATATCCCTGTCAGGAATAAAGTCACACCGTCTTCAGCTGAACCTGGTAGGGCAGAAAGCTAAGCTGAGACCGCAGCTCATTGTGATTCCTCCACTCCCCTTTCCCCAGGGACATGAAGGAACCCTCCCCAAAATGGGAGAAATATTTATGCAAGTTTCAGTGTTGGAGAAGAAATCTATGAGGATGTCAGTTTCTGGACAACAGCCCATTGAGTTTTGTCTACTCTCCTTGACCTGTGTCCTGATAAAACTTCCAGTAAGCTATTTATCAGGTAAATAGATAAACCCGCCATCATCATGTCAACATACAGTGACAGTGACTGAGAGCTAACCTATTAATTGCTGACCCCATTTCTATTTCAGTCCTTTGGCATGTCCTCTAAGAAATGAATGGGATCAGTCATTGTAAATCCATTTTCTCTGGCACCAGATAATCTGCTTTCAAGCTGGAGCAGATGCTGAGATGCCCACATGGGCAGCCTGCTGCTGGATGACCAAGGGGGCTGTAGTGCAATGTGACTGCATCCCTGAAGGCTTGTGTTGGTTCACCTTTGTAAAATAAATGATTCTGCTACACGGTATTGTGTCCTAAAATGCCCTGTTGAAATATCACAGAATGGGTCAGGCTGGAAGGGACCACGGGGGGTCATTTGTTTCAGCCTCCCTGCTCAAGCAGGGTCATCCCAGAGCACATGGCACAGGATTGCATCCAAGAAATTCTTGACCATTCTTCTCCAGTGAAGGAGACTCCACAAACTCTCTGGGCAATAAGGTCCCACAGGTTATTTCCTGGATGGGTGGCAGCCTTGGATTTGGGTGTTAAACCAATGCAAAAAGGCTGAGTGTCTAACAACCATAGAAGACTGGAGAGAAGTAAATGCCATTTAAATTACTCAAGGGTTTTAAGCCCAGATCTCCAGTTTCAGCTCTGACCAGTGGGATATGAGACACTGTGATGTGGTGGCTGGGATCTTCTCAGTTCTCTGTGCTGGAGCTACTCTGCTTTGCAGTGGAACGAGGCAGTTCTTTGGGAGGACAGGGATGCTGTAGGGAGCGTGAAAGCATTTAAAAGGGTGATTTGCTGGTACTGCTGGTCAGGCAAGGATAATGCTTGCCATAAAACACTGAGCTGTCTAGAGGCCCAGAAAGTGCATCCCAGCAGTAAGTGCCCTGAGTGCTGGGCTGGAGAGTTGGACACAGATTTGCTCTCTGGCCCCAGCAGTGCCCAGGGCCGTGCACAGACACAGCCGGAGCTGGGGGGCTGCAAGAGCTGGGTGTGTGCCCTCAGCCTTCTGCAGGAAGTGTGGGCTCCCACCCCCCGGAGAAGGCAGCTCAGCTTGGACCCTGGCTGCTAGAGCCTCTTCCCAAAGCCCTGCACATGCCATCACCCTCCCTCAGGCCCTGGCACAACCACAAGGAAGCGCATGCATCAGAGCAAGGAGGGAAGAGGAAGACATGGGTCTGGGGCTGGAGCGCTCTCCCAGAGCAGCTTTCCCTTGGGACGTTTTGTTTTCACTTTATTTGTGTCCCTGGGACCCAGCTGCTTAGCAACTGGATAAAATTGTCACAAAATGCTGGCATTGCCTCCCTCACCAGGGCAGTGGCTGGGCTGTGTCCTTGGAGAGGCTGTCTGCCAGGCGAGGTGGCCACACAACACTCATAGGGGGACCCCCATCCCTGTTCTAGTATTCCTGGGTGGCCTTTCCCACAGTGTGAGGGAATTTGGCCCTCATGCATGGCACACACTGCACTGCCAGTAAGGCATGCAGGCAGCTCTATCTGCCCCCAGGGGCAAATGAACCATGGACACCTTTTGGATCTGTGGACAAATGCTTTTTCCTGTCTGAAGGACCAGGAAAAAAGCACACTGGAAGTAGTCCAGTGAAGTACCTGAAAAGGAAAATAGTCACCATTTCTGACTGTATACTTGGGGGGGGGGAGGGAATGAATGCACCATCTTACTTTGGTTCAGGGTCTTTCAACCGAAAAAAAAAAAGGCCAAAGTGGCAATGAGGAGTTTTGGCTATATATTTCTTGGGCCAGAAGAAGAATAGGCATGTGTCTAATGCCTGCTGATGTCTTTGCCCTATCTGAGTCCCCTGCCTCTGTGGATAATACTCAAAGAAGTATCCAGGCTGCCCAGGAGGCCAAATCCTGCTCAGTGGAGCTCACTTCCCTTGAAGAGTCATGCAAAGGGCAAAGGATGAAAAGAAGAGATTTTAGGAGAGTGTATTATAACTCACTTGCCCTTATAAGTGCCTGATGTGCAAAAGATAGTTGCTGGCAGTTGCTGACATCTTCTGTGTTTACCTCAATCAGCAAGTATTTATAATTAATTTTTAAAACGTTGAAGTTCCAGCCTAACTGGGAACATTGCAAACTGCCCTCAGCACTCTGATGTGCTTCCAAAATGTACACTGCCACAAGTCATAAAAGCACAAAGACTCACATATTTCAGGGGGTAGGTGGGGGACTAGTGGGGAGATAATGCAATTCAAATGAAAATTATTTAGATGACTAATGTCTATCACAAATACAAATGACTGGAAGCAACCACAACTGTTATAAATGGGGTGACCTGCCACACCACTTATAGCATTTCTTCTATCTGATGCCACAGAATCACAATATGGACGATTTGCCAGTAGTGGGACGGCCAGATTTAATTTTTTTCTTTCCCCTTCAGTCCTCCCTCAATGCCTCATGCACCACCTGTGCTGACATATGAGTTTGCTGGTTCCCGAAACACTTAGTGGGGCTAAAAATAGATCTGTAACATAAACAAAAAAAAACCCCAAACAAACAAACAAAACCAACCAAACAAACAAAAAACCCAAACCAAACCAAAGATGCAGCATTGCTGAGGTTTTTGAAGAAGCGTGGGATACTTCTGACCACCCTTGTGCCCAAAATGTTTATTGATGGTTTCTGTCTCTGTTTGTATGGAGAAAAGGCAGAACACAAGTTCACTGTTTTTCAGTTTCTTTACTTTTTTGTGGCAGTTCTTCATGGTAGTTTTCACTGTCTGTATCCCTTCTGGTCTCAGCAACAGGCTGGGAAGAAAACCTTCAAGGCAGGAAAATGCCATTGCTAAATCTACCATCATGGTGGTTAGAGTGGCAGAAGCGGTGGGGCTGGGGGCAAACTCCAAATGAACACCCTCTTGAAAGGCTTATGCATTGAGTTGATGTTGCTTTAAACTCAGAAACGTACCATGTCTCGGAGCACTGCCCAACATCCTGGGGTTCTGAGGGACCTGAGGGGACATGGAAGCAGAGGAGGGACAACCAGCTCCAGGGCATGAGCCAGCCCCTGCAAACACCTAAACTGAGGCTTTAGCAGCAGGTTTAGAGTGAGGTAGTGGGAAAGCACTCTCAGATTGCAGCCCTGTAGCTAAGTGATTCTTGGGTTTTTTCATACATGATTATGAGAAATGACTCTCATGTTCCCCATCAATGTTGTTGTTGTTAGCAGGCAGGCAGGGCTTCCCAGCATGAGCCATTGTTGCTAACAAGGTCTGTGTGTGCCACATTAGGGAGTGCACCACTCACAGCTTCCAGAGCACCATAAGTCATTTGCCATGGTTCCTGTGATGGTACAGAGCCAAACATATCTGCATCTCATGTGAGAGAAGGCAGAAAGATCCAGTTTTAAGTTCAAGATCCTTGATTAAAAGTAAAGAAGAGCAGCAAACCCCTGCTTCTGGGCAGAGATGCCCTCCTGCTCTAACACCAGGCTGGGGCAATGCTGAGAAGGATCACTGTGTTCAGTCACTCACCCACTCAGTCACTGACACAAACAGTGTAACAGCACACAGAAACCCCACCTTACCAAGGATTATATAATCCTCCATCTTCACATGCCCTTACTGCCACCTACCCTTCCCTTTTCAATGTGGATCCTACTGTAGTGCAGGAAGGAGGTTTTCCAGCACACAGGACAAGGGCAAGGGGAAGCAGTTACAGCTCTTCCCCTTGGTGTTGGCAAGGCTTTTAGCACAGGCATCTGTAACATACTTACAGTCAAAGTGGTGGGACAGGGACCATGCTGCAAGACTCTGGATGGCCATGGGCCAGCCCAGCTTTATGTGCACTTCTCTTGTGCTTAACTCCCTGAGGTGCCCTCTGCTGTGGCTACGGGTCAGCCCCAAGGTAGGACTGGGGCCGGGCTCTCTGCAGAGAGCTGCCTGTCCAGGAAAGAGGCTTGATTCCTAAAGAACTCCTAAGTTTCTTGTGGTACAGTCAGCAGGCAACTGCTCAGAGTGGGCAGAAAACTCACCAGGGTGTTTTTTCTTAAATGAATTAATTTTCTTTTAAATGAAGAGGATATTTTTGCCTGTGCCTCACTGCTCCCACCTTTATTTATAACTTTTTTATAGGAATCCTGATTTTTCGAGAAAATCCTGGCTCTGTGCAGAGGACCAGAAAGCTACACTGGCAATGCCAGTTACTGAGATGTCTTTTTCCTCTAAATAGCTTGTGGACGATGCTATGCTACAACAAATTTATATCCACATCTAAGCTTGTAGAGTGAACCAGTTAAGGGTCTGTGATTTAGGGGTTTTTTTGTTACAAGCAGGTGGCTGGATGTTTATAGGACAGTCTGCATTTTAATCCAAACATTCACAAACTTAGGCAGTTGTCTCTGGTGCTATAAGAGGGCATACAATCAGCACATCTGAAAATCAATACACCTCATGGGTCTGAGTACCTCAGTTAATCAAATAGTGCAGCCATCAGCTTTTGCTCAGCTTCCAGCTAGCTCCAGAGTATTTTCTGCACAGTCACAAGATTATAACTGCTGGGAAAAAAAAAAAAAAAAAAAAAGAAAGTTGGTATTTTAAACACCGTGATCTCTATGTTTTTTCATGGTTTGAGCTGCACCTTTACTGCAGCTTGATTTCTCTTCCTGAATTGCTCATTAGGTCTAAATCTAGAAAAAAACAAAACCCTGTCTGTCTCAGTCAAGCTGGACAGTAGGGAATGCAAGGTTAGTCTAGGGCCATCTGTTTCACTGCAAGAAAGTCTTTAGAAAACAAATCCATACAGTTGATTCATTATAAAATAGACATAAGTTATGAAGATAATCATGGGCTCAAATCCTGTGAAGACCTCTTACGTCCCTAGCTGCTATTACTGTTATTTTTTAAGTCAGCACTGGCTACCCCCATCACATGAATAATACTCTATAAGTCACAGATGCAAAATAGCAATAGCTGCAGAGATCAGGACCTTACCAATGGCTACACTTTGTTAATCTGAAATTATTATAGTTGTTCTTCTGGAGCCTGGTTGATGTGGGACACAATCTCAGACTGTCTGGAGGAAAGTGGCCCCATGCAAAAGTTCACTGTCTCAAAGCCAGGTGTTTCTCTGAAGACAATGACAAGTGTGCAACTATGCAGAGAGGGGCCTATGGGACACTCTCTGCCTATACAGCGAAGTCTGAAGCAGAGGAACTTAGTTTYACCAGAGGAAGGACTAAGAATAGGTGAGATGCAATAATTTTCCCCTAAATTAAATCTGTGGTGAATGTCAAACCTTAGCTTAAGCATCCTTCTAAGGAAACCTAGACCTGGGGCCTCTGTCACCATTGTTAAGAAGTAAATTCTCATCCATACATTCCCTGATCTTTCTTTGTCCACAGTTCACCAGACTGCAATTCATGTGGCTATGACAGGGTACTTGTCATGTAGCCACACATTATTCCTGGAAATGAATTCCAAATGGAACAGGTTTTATGCAACCTTGTATTTTTGAAAGCACCTCACAGTAATCAGTAGCCAAGCAGCAAGAAATACTTTTAATCACAGTTGTCTGTGTTGTGCTGAAACAAAACACAGTCTCCTTTTTCATAAAACCCTGTGGTCACTCAGGAACACCAGTTTCAGCCTGCTTGAGAGGCATGTGTGTCCCATCCAAATGCTCAGTGCCAAATCCAAAAACACATGATTTGACACTTGAACTCATCCACAGGGCTGGAGAACAGAAAGGGTGGGCAGCATGCATGTTCCTCTGCATGAAATCTTCTGGTAAAGTTTGCATGTGAAGGGTGTCTCAGCTCTTGGGGCAAAAGTCTCGGCAGCAAAGTTGCAAGAAACTCCTGGCATCCAAATCAGACTTCTTCAGATGTTCATTGCCAGACTGATAAATTAGTATGAGAAAAATATCAACTTTACAATAAAATATTTCATGCCCCTCTCCCTCCCCATGTCTTTCCCCACAAGAAAACTGTTCCAAACCAGTGCTTTGCTCTGAATTGACCCCTTGCAGGGAAAAGGACATTTGCTCACATGGCTTTTACATTCTGTCATTAAAGAGAGACCTCAGCTAGCAAGAAGGAATAAGGCAAAGCTCTCCAAGCACTGTATGCTCGGTACAGCAGTTACTCTATTTGCATCCCAATAGTGCACACGGGTTCCCACATTTCTTTTGCCTGGGAATTCATTGTGTCTCAGGAAGCTCTGGCTTAGTGTGAAACGAGAGACAGCTCACAGCAACAGGGAGACAAAGAGAGCACATGAAAGTAAGAAACCTGTGATGAGCAGTGTGAGAAGCAAATGATAGGCATGCACAGGCAAGGCTGATCCAAATTCCTGGGGGATTCAGGAGGAATGAAAGATTCCCCAATCCTCATCTGCCCGTTCCTCTTACCCCATTAAAACCTGGCACCCAAGGAGGAAAGAAAAAGCAGGAAAACTGGAAAGGGGCATGGGAAGCTGTCAATATGCCACAGGGCAAGAAAGGAAGGAAATAGCATGGAGGAGATTGAATCAGTGTGTGGGCTGTAAAATTCCAGCCGTGGTGAAACCTGTAGCTGTTAAGCCCCTGCACTCTCACAGACACCTGAAGTGTCATGCAGAAATACTCCAGTTCTCACAAGAGGACAAAGCTCTAGAGAAACCTCATCATTTTGTCAGTGTTTATGAATCTGTGCTCATACCTCCCCTATATTCAGGTTAATGAGCTCCTTGTTTTTCGAACTCAACGCTTGGAATACTTCTGAAATGAAAAACAGCACACCAGTGCTATAAATACACCTCATTCATATTTATGCACGACCTCTCCTTCCCACGATGACAAGTGGCCATACCAAAGATAGGGAAAACCTGGCACGAAGGTGGATTGCTTAGGATTGCTTAGGATTGCTTGGTGGTGGTAGCTCCTCTGACAAAGCAAAGTCCTTGCAAGAGGAAATGTCCTGCTGACTTAAGGCCTTCAGGCAAGTCTTACTTTAGGACTTGACCGGAAGAGGTGTCCTGAATGTGCTGAACAGTCAGATTTGGATGACACTCTGAAATCAAGCCAAGCAGTTTGCGTTTCTTTACTTATTTTACCTAAATTTTATCTCTCAGAAGTTTAATTCTATTGCTACAGACAAACCAGAAAGTAAAGAGAAGAACAAAACAAGCAACAAAAAAAAAATCAGTGAAGAAAGTTGCTTTTTCTTCTCATACAGTGAATTATGTTTTATTTGAATTTGGAGCTACACTAATGATCCCTTCAGCATTTATCCAGCTGTTTAAACTACCTCTATTACTGGTGCTTTGTAACAAGAGTGACCTTGTACCACAAGTGAACTGAGAGCTAGGGTGCCTTGATGTACTGGGAGCCATATCTGAAGCCAAAAGGGAACATGTTATGTAAAAGGTACAGGAGATACCTGCCCAAGCACATGCCAGCCTTCTCTTTGCATGAGGCACAAGTAATATTTGAACCTTGAATTTATGTGATCCCAAATTAAGCTCCTGGGTGAGCCACAAGAAGGGTTAGGACAGGGACTTTACCAGCATTCTTCACATGCCTTCAACATTGCTACAGAGTTTATGTAGCAAGCTCTATTCACATGGGGGAAATTTTCCATTAGCAGCAGAACATTTTTCACTTTCCAGGAGAAAAGCCATCCTAAATGCAAATGTTAAACACAGCTCCTTTCTTTTAGCCAAGTACTCCATCTCAGAAATTGTGCAACAGGCTCAACAGCCATAAGCAGAACAATTTCTTTTTCAAAGGGGATGAAATTCCAGAGGAAGAAGATACTCACGGCTTGCATTCTCCAGGTGAATTAAGCAGTTGAGAAAATCATCAAATTCAATCTGGAACTGCTTGTCAGAGTATCAGAGGACAATCAGATGCAGCAGGTAGTTGTTGAGTTGTTATCCTCCCCAAAGACGCACACACAAAGAAAAAATGAGCAACCTCACAGGGTAGGGGCAATCTGACATCTACTCACTAATCTTGGAACCACTTAATGGGAGGATACTCTGTGGCACACATCCGTCCAGAAAGAGATCTGACTACAATGCTCCTTAAGCTTGCAATGAATAACAAACTCTGAACAAGAAAATTGTCAGGCACTGTGGTTTCCAGTCTATGCATGCTGTGTGTGATGTATGAGAGACCATTCTGTCTTGAAATTTGGAGGGATTTCTGCAAAACTAGCTGCTTTAGTAAAAATAATTTGTGATGAAATACTAATGCAACGACTGCTCTTCAAAGCAGCTTACTCATTTCCTTCAACCCTTGATTGTAGATGGACTCTGAAGTGGTTTGTTTCAGGGTCTAACCCTGCACATGTGCAGCCCTGTTGAGTTTAACAGAGCTCAATAAAATATAGACTTATCTGACTGCCCTCAAAAAAAAGTGCAAATGGGCAAAATTAGCCCACTCAGCGTGCCCAGCTTCCCTCTAGGGTATAACACCTCTCCATTCAGGAGCACCTGGCTTGTGTGATTGATTGTCCTGTTTACCCACAGCTGATCTGTCTCACAGGTTTACTAGACAAAAAGCAGTGCTGGTCTTACCTGAAGCTTTAAGAGCACCACGAAGCTCATAAGAGGACATGGAGCCAGATTTATCAAACTGAAAAAAGATACTCTGTTATGAAAGGAGCACATAGAAAGATCAGTATTAGCATATGAAAGGGACCACAGATATGGCATAGAAAGGCAAGATGTTTATCTCCAGCTGCAAAGTATGAGCATTTAAGAAAGCTGACAAGACTTTGGTCTTGATGCAGTCTTATTTTATAACTGAGGAGCAAATCTTCATCCCAGTTCTCTTTGTCATATGAACAGGTTGTTGTGACTTAAACAAGTACTGCCAAATCCAAGCATTAAAAAATAATGAGTTGTCCTTCATTAAAAAAAAAAAATCATTATTTTTTTAAAAAAAATATTTTATCTGGAAAGTATGTATTGTTCTCTGTCTTTTAACTCTTAACATTTTCTTAATCTCTTTTTATGTTTTTCTCCATAGTTCTAAACACTAGAGACCAACTGTTAACATGACATCAAGATTGTCACTCACTCATTTGCTTCTAAGTATAAAAGATCTAAATAGCCACAGTCATGGTGCAACCAAGAGAACTGGTCAAACAGTGTGAATTTTGACCTATATTTTAAGCAATTTTTAAGCTGGAGTTAAATTCCATCCTTTTATTGAGACTACAAATATGGCTCTCCTTTGGAATATGAGTTATTTAGAGCTGTCATCACATTCAGGTAAAAATTTTCCAGCAAATATATGTCAAAAAAGATCTCTAGCAAATTTTCCTACAGGATACAAATATGTCTCAAGCCTCCTTTTTAAAACACAGTGTGTCCTTTGTCGCGAAGGGAGGACTCGGATCACTCAGTATGAGTTATAAGTGAACCTCGATTTATTGTAAACAATGTCTAAGTTTTATAACATACATAATTAGCTCATGCATATTCTGTAATACATATATTTCATAGGTCCACGTCCTACACGTCAACTCCACCTTCAATGATTCATTTGCCAATTTTCCCTTATCTACTTCTACTTTTTCCCAAGGCCAACTACACAAATACCTCATAGAGAGTTTCCAGCGGCTTAAAAACATGATGTCCTTGCATAGCTTTCCCATCACCTCAGAAGGATGGTTCACACAATTTCAGCAACTATTCTATCTGAGCGCGACACCTGCATTCCTTCATCTCACCAAGCTGTAAAATGTCTACGTGACCCTTCTCAGCTTAGCCTGCCTTCCACAATTCCCCCATTTTTTCTTTTGGGCAAGTGACACGTGATGGGTCACTTGCTCAGCTTATTTATAAAACAATTTTAAGCTATTCGAATAACTATTAGAATCAAAAGCAAGGTGCCAAAAAAGCGTAAGCCTTCTTTAATACAACTCGCAAGCCAATATTTATACCTAGCGATGTCAACCAATTGCTAAAGTCAAAACCTGTCTGCTCTCTCAAATCACCAAGATGGAATTTCATCTCGTCAATCCTTTTATGGACGGACGGCGAATGGTCAGAAAGATTCATACAACACATCCCCTCTAACTCCTCACATCCATGGCCTTATGCTAAAAGCAAAAAATCTACAGCATGTCTTATTTGCACTAATAACATCTTGTGATAGCATATGTATGGCATCAGATGTGCGGTTTATTTCACCCCTTGACCAGCAGCCTAAAAAGTAACCCCTTTATTCTGGGATAGGCCTCTTTTATCTGCTTTAGCAACCAGTGCATACATTTGTGTCAAACATACATTTGTTAGTCAGGCTGTCACTTTCTACTCATCAGCATCAGATTGGTAGGTTTGCAAAAGCTACAGTATTAATAATGTTTATAATTGTAAGCCACCTGCATTATCAATTCTTCATTGCAACCTCTTTTTCTCAAGACAGCCAAGGACGTGGCGTTTTTCTCCCATGCAGGCTGTTAACACTCCCTACATCTCCCCCTTTTTGTTTAATTATGAGAAGGGTTCAAGTACTCTAATGCCATAACAGTCTGCACCTGTAGAATCATTATCTTAGCAAAACTACTACCGATCTTTTGTTGAACACGAACACAAGATAAAATGCATGGGATACATATCACAATCCATGAGAACCCATCAAAACAACCATGCCCCTGATAAAGAGTCCCACAGCATAGGAAACCAAAAAGATGGAGTCCAGTGTCTGTAGGAAGAGAACTGCTTCTTCTTCACTTGGAAATGAGTGGCTACTGTTCCAGAGCTCAAATGGCCAGAGCTCCAGGGATGTGCAGTTTAGGCAGGAGGGAGCCCATCATCTGGCAATGCTGACTCTGACATTACTGAATGTCTTTCAGCAGAAACACAACAAGCTTGGTAGGCCAAGAAGGTGTTCTCTGGGGCTGCTGCTGCTCCTGCACCGCACATTAGGATGTCAGTTCTTTGTTGTAGTTGCTTCAACATCCTTCATGTGATCTCTGGGTTCATTCACGTGCTGGTTGCTGGTGTCGTGTCTTTAGCTGGGGGTGGGACTGGTCTCTCCGGTACGGTTTTGCCAGGTGAGCAGGCACCGCCTTGGACCTGTCAGTGATAGAACACAAGCATACCCTCTCTCCCAGGTTAGTAAATCATCAGGGCCTCACTATTGCACACCCAATTGTAGAGTCTTACATAAAACTTTTGGAAATTGGTTCTGCGCATGCAAACCTTCAGAGCAGTATCACTCTGCCAGGGATCATAATTGATGATCTGTGTTTGAAAAATGTAGTGTAAATATCACATTATCTAATTTGTCTTGAGGGGTAATGCTCCCCCTTTTTGTTTTAATAACATGCGCTTCTCTTAGTATGAACATCAACACAAAGCAAAACAATACAGGTAACAAAGCAATAAGCTCACTACGTGCTCAGTGTTAGCACCAAGCAAAAACAAATAAGGTAATACATGCAATCAGTAGTACACCAGTGAAAGGATTATGATTTAGAAAGATTCATTTATCAACTGCCTAAACACTTCCCTATTGCCCAGGGTCTGCAATAGCTGGCTAACCCCATTTCTCAGGTAGGACCTGGAGAACCTTTCCCGGGCAAGGCTTCCAAGTTTACCCTGAAGGGGTTCCAGCTTTGATAAGCCCAAATTGGCAAGTCAAAGTGACTTGATTACATTTTTAGTGTAGAAACACCTGGGTCTGTTGGCACTTCCCAACCAGCCAGGGCCAGGGCTTGGCCAGAGCCTAGGCCTCAGCTGGGAGGGATTCCCTAAAATATCCTTCAATTAGGCTTCTAACAGTCCCAATTGTGAAAGTTTCTTAAAATTATAGATTTCTTGCAGATAATTTCACAAAGTTATGTCTTACAATTAATAACATCCATAATCTGGAATTGTACTTATTTTTCTGCACCACCTATGGGAGATAAAACTGCAAAGATTATTATGAACAGTCATCTTAATTAACCAGTGCAGAACATTTACATCCATAGAACTTATGATTAAAGACTTAGTAAACTGCTTTTTCACATATTTTTACACAAGTTATCAGCTCATGTTCTTAAACCATCGCTCACCAATTTCCATCATAATTGTTTCGGTAGGTTTCATTTTGTCTCTATAACAAAAGAACTTAATATTTCAWTTTAAATGAACATATTAGAACAAAATTTAAACTTAATTTCATTTAAACTTAWTGTCATTCAAAAGCAACATCATCTAAACTTGACAACACTTAACAGAAATTAAGTCTGACAGAGCTTAAACTTATCAGAACATTAATTTAACTTCACTAAAACTTAACAATAATTAAACCTAATAGAACTTAAAATATTTAAAAGAGCTTAACTTCAACAGAACTTAATAGAATTTAAACATAGCATTACCTAAACTTAACAAAGCTTAACTTTAGCAGAACATCAGCTTAGCAGAGCCTAAAAGTAACAGAACTTAAAATAAATAAATGGTAAGCTGAATAACATGTGAAGTTAGTAGACTTCCGTAATTGAACTTAAGTTTAACAGATCTGAAAATCTACAGACCTCAAACTTAGCATCATTTAAGTTTCACAAAGCTTACCACTTAATGACACTTAATAGGTAGCTGAAGCTACTCAGCAATTGATTAGCTTAAAATTTACTATAACACAATAGTAACTCACTTAGAGGCCTAAGTTACAAATCTAAAATACCTGGGAAGCTAGAATCCTTATCTTACTTGCTGCAGCACTTTCACACACACACACACACACACAAAGACACAAAGAGACCGTTCAAGGTCCACCCGTGGCAAAAGGCCACCCAAAACTCAGCGAAGCAGACACTTCGGACACCTTTGCATCTCTTCAGTGGGCACCCTGCTTAAGACCTAAAATTTAAGAAAACTAGATTCAAAGTTGAGAGCGTTACTTTAAGAGTTTCGGGTACTAAAAAGACCGACTAAGTCATTGACGTCACTCTTACAGTAAAGCATCTGAAAATCTGTCACAGCAGGTAAACATCAATGAGCAATATGCAAGCTCCTTTTTTTCTCTTTGTTTTTTTTTTTTTTTTCAGAAACACAGAGACTAGATGAAAATTTTTATTTTTTAAGGGGTGGCTGCTCCTACTGATTACTCGCAGTACAACAATACTTTGAATTTATGAGCCACAACTTGGTTTTCAAAACTGAGTGAAAGAGAGTGAAAGTGGTTGGGAGAGAACTCTGCTACTACTTTTCCTAAGAGACTGAAAGTGAAACCCTGCAAAGTAGAGAGCTAATCATGATCTGGGATATGAATAATTGATCAAAACAAACAAATCCTTGGAGCACAGTCT